TTCAGCCTGGAAACTTGTATTTAGAAAGGTTTTAACCCTGCATCGCCGTCTTTCGTAACTGCACTGTGACTGATATTTTCTTCTGAAGAATTTAAAAATGGCTACACATAAAATAAATCTGTTCACTATCATAGAACGGTGGAGTGGTTTGGGTGGGAAGGGACCTCAAAGACCACCCAGTGCCACCCCCTGCCATGGGCAGGGACACCTTCCACCAGACCAGGTTGCTCCAAGCCTCATCCAGCCTGGCCTTGGACACTTCCAGGGATGGGGCATCCACAGCTTCTCTGGGCAACCTGTCCCAGTGCCTCCCCACCCTCTGCGGGAAGAATTCCTTCCTGATGTCCCATCTCCCTCTTCCCGTTTAAACCCATCACCCCTTGTCCTGTCACTCCCTGCCCTTGGAAAAAGCCCCCCCCAGCTTTTTTGTAGTCCCCCAGGCAGTGGAAGGGGCTCTAATGTTTCCCTGTTGTTGCATGATTTGCTGTCTTCTAGAGAAATCCAAACTTCGTAGTGATAGGTGAATTTTTGGCCAAAGTTTCCATAAGGGAGCAATCCACTTAATCATTGGCACTCAGGAAATTCCTGTCACCCTGTGTTCCCCTTCCCCCAAGGCAGCTGTGCGCTGCAGGTCTAAGCCTGTCTGACCCCTGCAAATGAGGACTCGTGTGTGACAAACCACTTTGCTAGAGCTGTTGTCTTAAGTGGTGCTTTCCGAGCAATCGGTGGTGTACTGCTGCTCCGTAAATGCGGTGGTCTGTTCTGCTGAAAGCCTGAGCGCTCTTACGTGGTGTGTTATGTTTCACCTGTGTTGCGTGACACCGGTCAGCACCTGGCTGGCTGTGTGCGCGTACCTTTGCATTTGCTAACCGGATACATTAAATTTAGCTGTGGTGAGCATCTGTGGAACCCTCCAGTTACGTTGTAAAAGGCATAACCAGGTTTTTTGGAAGGTCAGTAAGTTAAATTCACAGTAGCCGTATGCTAGCGGGCAGAGTGTAAGCAGGGTGTAAATCCGGCTGACTGTTTCCTGTTCAAGTAGGCAGCAAGGGCACAGATCACGTCAGTTCCTACCAGTCCAGCTGCTCGCTGGCAGTTCCACGGCATGCACTGGGCCTCGCTTTATATGTGAGCACTCACAATTACTGTGACACCCTCTGTGGAGCTACGGGAATGTCAAAAGACAAAGGTTCAGCTTTGGAGCCCTAAACACGCTGCGGATCATTGAAGCAGCAGGTTCCGGTCTGCGTAGTTAGATTGGTTTGGGGATGAACGTACCAGCTCCAATTAGAAGTTGATCTTGGAGGTGGTGCCTTACCAAGGAATTGAGTCCTGAGTGTGATCAGGGCTGCGTGAGCCAAGCAGGAATTCCATTTGACCCGTAAGTGTTGGGCTGAAATGCAGCTTCAGGCTGTGCTTGCCCCAAACCCAGCTGCTGCCATCTCCAGGACAGCATCCCCTTCCTCTTGCATGTTCCTTCTCTTTTCTTGCCTTGTGTCTACGGAGCCTGAGTTGTGAGCTAAGCCTTCATGTGGGCGTTGGGAAGGGGATAAGCAGTTTCTCTTGGAATAACAGTTGCAAGAGCTGAGGGAAGTTGTTGAAGGAGATGAGTTGTTCTCTCTGCAGCCTGTTCTCAGATCCTGTTCGTGCTGTGAAGCTAGAGTCTGACTTGTCCTGTGCAGGAATTATCGAGCTAGAGTCAGTCAAGAGAGGTGTGGTGTTCTTTGGGACCCGATGTATATCTTTAAGAAGGGTTTCTTGGGTTGTCAACCTAAAAGTTCCTTTATCTCAATGTCTGCATTCTTGTGTGACTGCAGTGACCTTGAATGTGTACTGTTACAGGGTGAGATGTCGGTACTCGCATCTTCAGGCCTTCAGACACAAAGTACTTGATTTTTAGCCTGGCTGCTTGTCCTTCAGTTGGACTTGGTTTCCTTTAGTCACAGGCAAAAAACTCGGGTGGATATATGACAGCTTTTAGCTGGGCCCTTTACAAAAGAGCTGAGCAATAAAACGATCTGGTTCGTGGCAAATTGTGTAGCTTCTGTTTTCTGTCTTTTTGCCAATGAATGTGGAGAAAGGAGTAGGAAAAGGTTTCCTAAAGTTATTTTGTTAATAGAATTTGCATAGGGTGCCGAGAAGAACATAAAGACTATTTTTTTGTCTAAAGCCTGGTCAGAACTATAGTGAGGGTCTTTAAATTTATTCTGCAATATGTAGTATGTTTTTGGGGAGACACATTTTGGTTTTCTCTGTGTTTTTTTGTTAAATAGATCGTAGCTCCAGTCTAATGTCAGTTTGTCTGTGTTGTGCTGTGACTTAATGACGTCGGTAGTCCAGCTTATCAGAATGTATCTGAAAATTCTCTCTGTGCCCTATTTTTTATGCTCAGAATGGCAAGTGTGTTTTCTAGGGGTGTGGGATTTCGAATGGAGGGAATAATGTTCAGTTCCAAACAGGATACATCCAAGTACTCTAGTATTCTATTTTTCGTAACATCTTTTGATATAAACCCCTGAGGCTTTCTGTGTGCCTTGTTATTTTAATCTGCTGAATGAAGAATTTCATTCATTCCGGTCTTTACTAATCCCAGGTGAGTTCATGGCGCGCTCACACACTCAGTAGTGCTCTTGCTTTTATTTTCAGATGGATTTAATGCCATTTATCAATAAAGCCGGCTGTGAATGTCTTAATGAGAGCGATGAGCATGGATTTGATAACTGTTTACGTAAAGACTCTACCTACTTGGAATCAGACTGTGACGAGCAGGTACCGTCGTACCTTACTTCTGGTTAATTAATGTGCTCTGTTTGTTTTTAAGAATGAAAAAACCTAGTTTTTAACAGCAACTTTTTTTCTCCACAGCTGCTTATTACTGTAGCTTTTAGTCAACCTGTCAAGCTTTATTCTATGAAACTTCAGGGGCCAGATAATGGTGAGTGAAATGTCTTTAATCATAACCAAAGCTTTGTCTGTGTTTAGCTGAATTCTCTCCAAATGACCCTGTGGTCCCTGGCACCTTTTACCTTTTGAGAATCCCACATCAGCTTACTTTGTTATATAGTTCATTTACAACAGATTTACTGGGCTCATTCATTTTTCACTAGTGCGTGGGAAATTGGTATGACCCAAGTGCTTACTAGTCTGATACGCTGCAGAGAGAAACTTGGGTAATTCAAGAATTCATGTGAGAGCTACGGAAAAGCATGGGGTAGTTTTTATGGGAGCTCAGTCTTGCATTATAAAGTTACATACAGTGTTCAGGTGTACCTTAACACAGAAAAAATGTTATTTTTAGAGTTTTTACTGGATTCTTTCCTGTGGAATTCTCTGACACATGGAGGAGTAGTGCAGCTCTGGATGTCCTTCCATATCCAGGGTGGCGATGTAGGGTCGGCAGGTAAAATACTAGAACTAGAGAGGCTCGTGCCTTCCTTGAGTGTATCTAGAGACTGGTAATCGCGGGCTTCTTGAGCAGCATTTTGGAAATTTAAACAGCAGAATTCAATTGTATTTTTAACGCAGGGCAAGGTCCAAAGTACATAAAAATCTTTATCATCCTTCCTCGATCCTTGGTTTTTGAAGAAGCGGAACGGAGTGAACCGACTCAAGCCCTGGAGCTGACACCAGATGATATTAAAGAGGATGGGATTATCCAGCTGCGCTATGTGAAATTCCAGAATGTTAACAGTGTAACCGTGAGTAAAGCTGCTGTTCAGAGGTCTTCGTGGGCTGAAAGCCTCACAGGCCTGTAAAGCTGTGTGTGTTTGCTGATTGCACTGTGGGTGTGTTCAGTCTCTCTGCGATTACGTCGTGTGTGTATATGAAGAGCTTTTCGGGAGGTGAAGGCGAGATGAGGCCGCGTGTGTGCAATGTCTCCGACCTTGTCGTGGTTTAACTCCGGC